GCACAGTCATACGAAATCCGCTCTATGTCAAGTAATATACGCATCTGATCGAGCGTGTTTTCTTATCCTTTTGACTATTTCTTCAAAATGCACGAGCATCATTGAAACTATTTCATTTCATAATCTCATAGAGATTGTTTATGTTCATTCATTTTGTAATTTCCATCGTCCGTCAGAAAAAACGTTGTTCAGAATACATACAAAAGATGTACAAAAGAAGTACAATAATAGGTTTCCACAACATTCCCCTTTTTTGATTATGAGTAAGACTATGACTTTTAGCGGCGATCAAATGATTGCTACACCGTGCATTACAATGCACATTATTGAAAATTGCGAAAAACTAAAAATTGCGTTTACATTTTCTATAAAGATATCTACGTTTCAAGTGAGCCAAAAACCGAAAGTAACGCCAATATCGACTGCATTGGACGAGGTCTGTCTCTGGCCAAGATAACTGAACAAGGCGTAAATGAAATGCTGCAGAAAATGTTCCAGTCAGATTTCTGGATTGGATTAAAAAAGGGAGGCAGTGGCTGGGCGTGGCGTGCTGACAGTTCCTTACTACAAGCTGATGACTACAGCAACTGGGTTCCAGGTGAGCTGACGAACAATGGAGGAGGCAATTGCGTTATTATGGACTGGACTAGTGGCAAATGGAAAAGAAAAAAGTGTAATAACAATCTATACCCTTTTGTATGCAGTAATTAGACTTAGTAAGGCCTGGTTCATACGTCAAGACAGCGTCGCACCGAACCAAACGGCCGGTTTGAATTAAAGGGACACTGTCAATGGCACGCATGCGCGAGTAAACTTGAAAACACTAGGCTAGTGTTTTCAAGTTTATGACTCCAAGTTGGAGCAACATAAATCAGCTCGTAAACGTAAACAGATCTAGAATATTCCAAAGTGTGTCAAAGCACCACAAAATGATTTACCTCGAAGGTAATATTTTCAAAGTACGTTAGAGGTGAGACTCTTACTGCGCATGTCATCCATTGACAGTGTCCCTTTAAGCACATGAACAGCTCGACGTATGAATCCAATTTATAAGTTCGGCACGGTAGAACTAAGTTCGGCACCGCAGCTGGCACGGCCGTGCTAGTCGTATGTGCCGCACGGGAAAAGATCAACATTCATACGTCGAGCTATTGTATTATGTGTCGAATACATTGTATTTCCTCGTATTTTAGCCGAAAAATTGGTAAGTCGTATTGAATATGCACAGTACCCAACTTAGTATCCAGGTCTACCCAGACTATTAAAAACAAGGCGATGGATTGACCATTCACATTACAGCATTACTACCATGAATTGTACACTAGAGAAAAAAGGAAAAGACATCGATGTATTACTTAGTGATCACTATTTTGCATGCATAAAATATAATTACATTTAATT